TCATTGATTATTGAAGATCTTGTTTTGAGGATTAGTGTCCTGGGTACAGGATAGTGCGCTTTACTGATTTGGTGACAAATGTTTATGCAGTTGTTAGGAGAATTGTTGTTTGGTCATCTTGAGGTTGATAAGTATAGTGATCGTCGTATAGTGCGATTAATAATTGTTGGTGCCGTTGTGTGATGGTGTAGTTACGTGTTAGATACCGAGTGTTTGGTCTGACGGGGATGTATAGAATTGAGATTTTGTGTGTCCTTTGAAGAATGAATTGAGGTTGGATGTTGTCTTATTCGGTGGTCTAATGACAGTTCTTTTCTCGGGCCTTGAAGCCTTTCGTAACTGTGTAAAGTAGGCTGATGTCCGTTTTGAGCCAGACACAAGGTCTAATTGGTCTTATATTATAATGAAGGGAGAGATGGGTATCCGCGATAGGTTTTAGTGGCTATGGTGTGTGATTGCCTGGTGACGTCCAGTATTAAGGGCAATAATGTTGGTGGGTTTATAATCTCTGGGTTTTGTGAAGTGTTCTTAGAGAATGTGGTTGTGGGCCTTCTTCATAATGAGGGTTGATTTCGAGGACGAAATCTTTTTAAGGAGGGTAAATTGATGTTTCCAATTTTTGCCATTTTTTATTTTTCCGGATTGTGTCGCTGCAAGGGTTCGTCTTTTGTTATTTTGCGTGCCAGACATCGTGGAGTGTGCCGATTATGTCTGAGAGTTGGTTGGGGCATTTTATTGAGTCCAGGACTCTTTAAAATGCAAGGGTGGCCATTTTCATATATTTCTGTTTTTCTGACTGGACGGTCCCGTGTGGGACCCGCTACCGAAAATTGTTGCATACCGGTATTTTAGTTGGGTTCATTTATAACATATATATATATTTTTATTTGTTGTGTTTTAAGTGGTTGTAAATTAAATGTGTATTTATGTGTGTATGTGGTGAAAATTGAAAACAAAAGAAAAATAAAAATAAAAATCTTGGTGGTGGGACCCACCACCCACACATTTTATGGCCAATAGAGATCATCTTGATCTCACATTTCACTTCCTCTCATTCTCTCTCACGCTGGTTCCTCTCTCCCGTTCTCTCACTTTTCTTTTTTCTTTTTCTTTTGTTCCAATCTTTAAACCTTAATTACTCTCTCAATACTTAGAGATTTTAAGTGCCGTTTGTGGCAAATTGAAGCCCACGATGAGATCTTCAAATCCATACCAGCAATTTCAACTTTTGGCCACTCTAGGAAGTCCAAAAATTGAGACCCATTTTGAGGGTTTGAAGTGAAAATTTGGGGCTTTTGGCTTAGATTGAGGTAGAGGTCTCTAATTTCCACTTTCTTGCACCTTTGTGAATTTTTCCACTAAAATTCTTGTCAAGCATGTTTAATTTGAGTTGATTGTTTTTAAATTGACTTACTTGGGTATGTGAAGCATGTTATTAGGTGTATTGTTTGATTTGAATGAAAAGCATGTTTAAATGTTGATTTTCTATACCTATTGTGTTGTTAATTGCTAGAAATGATGAATGTAAGTATGTATAATTTTCTTGGAATTTCTTGTAAAGCATGCTTAGTTATGTTAGATAAAAATCCCTTATTATCATGGTATTAATAGTATGAGAAGCATGCTAAGTTTACATTCCTTATATGCCTCGAATTTTATATGATATGAATTTGGGTTCGATTTTTGTTGAAGCTTTTGAGTTGATTATTTTATTTTATTTTATTTTGTATGCAAGAATGATATATATAAAATATGTGAAAATTGATATTGACATGTCATGGAAAGGCGTGATGCATTTACGCATGACATTGGGTATGAAAAGGGAAAAAATTTGAGTTGAAATGGAAAATTATTTTTGAAAGAAATAAAAGAAAATATTTTGGGAAAGGTTTTGATGAAAGTTTTGCTAAAAACCTAGTTGTCTAGGAGATTGCCTATGGGTCCGTGGCGTTAATGTGATCTAGAGAGAATTAGGGAGATTGCCCTAGCGTGGTTGAGTTAACTGGCCCGGACAGTTAGCCAATCCTTCTCTCGTGCCGCCATGGAGCTGCCATGGGACGGTTGCATTAACGGTTTGGAAATGATGGCAGAAATGGTTTTGGTAAAAATTGGGGAGTGACATTACATGGCATTGCATCCCATTGCACGGCATAATTTAATTATGACTTGGATTGTCGAATTTGTTGCTCTGTTTACCCCGGTATGGTATAATCCCTCTTCTTTATTTTTCTATTCATTGTGTGGATTCACGGGGTCACAAGAGGTGTGTCTTAGGCACCACCTACTGAGCAATTTGCTCACCCCATTTTATTTAACATTTTTCAGGGCCGGGAAAGGAAATAGTGGATGCCGATCCCTCTCAAGCATGAGGAGGACTAAAGATTTATTTTGTTACCTTTTGTGCTTTAGCTAATCTTTGTAAAGTCTCAAATTATGGAAAAGAGTATTTATTTTTTTGTAATCATGGCCATGTAATACAACTAAGATACTTGACTATTTTTGGATGTAAATTGAGACTATGAAAATGCTTAAGTTGAGTGGGGGGTTGATGTAATGTGGTACATTTTGCCGTGAATTCGGAAAGATTAGATAAATTCTGAAGGTCCAAGAGAGGCCATTGCATTTTTTTTTTTATGCATTTAAGCAGGTTGGCATAGAACCCTTTTTAGCAAAGGTAATGCCAAATTTTTTAAAAAAAAAAAAAAAAAAATTGGCATCAGTTTAGGGTCGTTGCATTTTTGGGTTTTAATTTTCAATTTTGTTAGTAAAGAGTGATTTTCTTTTTCTTTTTTTTTTTGACACTAATAAAGAGTGAATTAATTACTTGAAAACTAATTGTGATATTGTTTTGAAATGTGTTTTAAATATTTATTGTATAGTTTTAAATATAAGGTGAAAAACAATATTTTTTTTCAAAAATAAATTTTCTAAATTACAATTTGCTAGTGTGTACGTATATAGCAGATGACTACCGCCCATGTTCGAATCCCCTGATTCACCTATAATATTGTATGTGTTACGTTTTGATTTGATGTAATAATATGGTGTAACGGGTGGACATTTGTCTATTACTCAAAAAATTTAGTTATTGGGTAGTTCTGCATATCCACTCATTTATGCCAATTTCACTTCACATCCGGATCCGATGTGGGACAAGTCTCTCCCACCCGAACTCGCAACTCTCTCATTGTGATCGGGCCACTATGCCTACCTGGGTGACACATTCGGACGCCTTTTGGATCGGGCACTTGGTGTGATACCAAATCAAAGACTGGATCTGATTCTGATATCAATTATAACGAATGAGCGATTACCCCATTCATTCAAAAACTTAAATTATTAAATAATATTATATACTGACTCATTTATACTCATTTTAAATTTTTCCTTATGACATATCGCATGTATTGCATTTTTACGTAATAATATCAGATATGTTGCAACTTTATGTAATATTTTGTCGGCGATATAAGATGTTTGAGTGTGCATCAAAACCAGATGATCTTGATGCCACAAAAGTACCATACCTGTCTTTGTACAAGAGATGAAATAAAGTGAGAAAAGTGAGAAAGGTCCTGTCAACGCTGGGGTGGGGTCAAGGGCTTTGTCGGCCACATCCAAGATGCGCGGGAGTTTTTTTGCTTGTAAGCGTCAACCGTTTGTTCATGTTCAAAACACTCCGTGCTAGTTTGATATGTTTATTAAGTGAGTTTCACCTGTTAATTTATTTTTAAAAGGGATATATTTAATATTTCATCAAATAATAAATTCAAAAAAAATGTGTGCCAATTAATTGAAAATATTCAAAATGAAAAAAAAAAATAGCAAACCAAGTAATTGGGCCAAAGCAAGTAAAAGATTACATATGTCATATTAATAATTTAGTAACTTTTCAATTCTAACCTGACACGATTAAATAAATAGATTAATTGTGTCAATCCGTTTATAACCCGAACTCGTTTAAGATCAATCTAAACTCGTTTATTTTGTGTTGTGTTCGAATCATGTTAGCGAGTGGTGTTGAAATTTGATACCCCTACCTTAACCCCTTATCATTTTCTTTTTTCTCTTTGAAAGTTGAACAAAATTATCATTTTATTTCTTTTTTAATATTTTATCCCCCTCCTATTATGGAAGAGACAAGTGAAATTAGAAATAATGACCTCACTGGCATTCTCATTTAATCGCATAGGTTTTCATTCCGGCAAGCTCTACTTTATCCTAGTTTTGCCGAGAGAACATTTCATTTTTCACCTTAAATTGGTCAAAATATACGGGATATCTTATTTTTCGTGGAGGATTAGATTCAACCAACCAAGGATTTATGGTAGACTGATGATGTACGCAGTTCTTGAGAACTAACATTCTCTTTAGTGCACTTGTATTATGCTGGTTACTCCTTGGGTTGAGATCAACCTAGTTGTTAGGTTGATCCCAGCCGTCACCAATGCAATACGCAATATGTACAGGTCATTGCAGAGGAGTTTACTCCACACTTGGCAACAAAAGTACAAGATGGTCATGACTACTTAACATATAAAAGATAGTGTAAATGCATTTAAAAGTTCATAAGAAACATGTAAAAGAAAGTGTAAATGCATAACTAACACCATTGATGATTAAATATGTTCAGGCTATATTTGGTTGTAGGGAATTGTAGCTTTGGAATTGAAATTGAAAAGCAGTAACTCACGAAATTGAACCAAAATTTTATCTAATTCCACCAATGCCATTCCAAGATTCCAATTTCGTTTAACCGAACACAGCCTTTAGCTATGTTTGACAGACATGAGATTGGAGCTTTGGTATTAAAATTGGTGAAATTGGAGATAAGTGACTCATAAAATTGAACTAAAATTTTCTCCAATTCCATTCCGCCAAACACAGCCTTTCAGTATTTTAATCCCCATTCAAAATACACCATCCAATTCCTTCAAAGCAATTTATATAGAAATCTTCAAATGTCTTCCATGAATGCATTAAAAGAAAATATTGCATTGTATTAAGCTAAAATTTTGACAAATAATGTCATTTAAGAACAATCGATGCGAGAAAATTAAGTCAAGAAAGGAGAAACAAAATTGTCGCAGCTCAGTTTTCATGTCCAATATTTCTTAACTACATACTTCATTTGAGGATCCAAAATTATGGACTTTTACTTTGCAACTTATTTGAAACACACAGACAAAAAAGGATGGAATTTTAGACCAATCAATGGTTCCAAAAAAATCCTGCATTTTCCTGATCCAGAAAATCATGAAATACAAAATGAAATTAACCAACTCTACAGTCCTCCATTCACCTCCACAGGTATTACAGTCCCTTGAGAATTGATTAAGTTGATTTTTTCCACCCATAGAATCAAAATCTGGTGACTCCTTTGTCTTCCTACATCAGAACATGCAATATTAGAACCCCAATATTGATCCTGACAATGCTAGATAACAATTAATAAGTATCTGCTAATGAGTTCTTGAACAAAGCAACAAAAACAACAACAAAAAATCTGAATAAAATCCCAGTTCTAGATCAAACACCCTAATTCAGAAATCATATCGCATGGCCTCTGTCATCAGTTTTTTCTTTCTGAGTTTCCATCATCAATTGATAGACTAATTTACAAGCATTTTTGTGCAACAGAACAACATGGTGATGTATGTTTTATATTCAGTTTCATTATTGGCATCCTACAGGCTATAACAGATTTAACTTCACTTGTACAAAGCATGAAAACAATAAAAAGACAGAATCGGAAATTTCTACATGGAACAAGAACTAGAATATCTGTAATCAAGTTTCATTTTGGATTAAAGTCTTTTGTCATGTTTACTTTAAGTTTGCAGCTACAAGTATTTTCCTCTTTAAATTTTCTCATGTTTAAGGAGCCAAGAGTATTTTGGCAATTTATAATTTCTAGATACACACCTAGAATGCAACATACTGCAAAGTACTACTATACTGGAGATCCCCTGCTTAATCTGAAACAGTACCATAGCTCCTAACTACTGCTATCCCCAAAAGATCATGATAAAGATGCTTCAGCGCCACAATGCCACGCCAAGTATCATAATGAAACCTCACCATTTGACACTCTCCAACTCTAAGTTACATAAATTCTCCCAGCCCAACCTAAAACCTTTTGAAAGTCTTGTACTATGAAAATTACTAACTACACTCGAAGTCCACCACCCCTAACACTCCCGTACTTCCCTTCTAAAGCCATAATCCACAAGCTACTACAAGGGGCAAAATAATTCTCGTTGAGTAACAGTAAGTATAATCTTTTAGACAAATGTAGTGTTTCACTCTCAATCGAGTAACATAGTAATTTTGTCTTGAAGGATGAACACAATGGCAACCCGAGGTAGGTTGAAGGAAGTAGTTGATTCTACAACTCGGAGTTGCATCCTGACCATCCCTATCTTGAGGATTGACTAGTAATCATTGTCTCTGTGTTGGCATATTCACATCATAGCCCCATGTCCCAACTCGGACTTGAACCATACACACCCCTTTGATGGCAGAAGAAACCAATCAAGTAGTGCCAAAACAATAATGTCTTCAATACTATGTTTATGCTTTCCCCATCTAGCCCACTAGCACTATTCTCAGCTTTGCTACATTATGCCTACATTTTTTCCACATTTAAGATGTTCCGAATAGTACTTCCTTTGAAGTCTATTAGCAAACCAATCAACTCAAATCTGGATTATTACTAAAAATGATACATTCTTAAGTTAAAAATGGCAGAAGAAACCAATCAAGTAGTGCCAAAACAATAATGTATTCAATATATGTCTATGCTTTCCCCATCTACCCCACTAGCACTGTTCTCAGCTTTGCTACATTATGTCTACATTTTTTCCACATTTAAGATGTTCCGAACAGTACTTCCTTTGAAGTCTATTAGCAAACCAATCAACCAAAATCTGGATTATTACTAAGAATGATACATTCTTAAGTTAAAAAAGGGAAAGGAAAGATAAAGCATGAATCTTATGATATGAAAAATGTTGGAATTTTATTATGCTAATTTGAGTGTGAGTAGTAAAACATAATATAATAGGGAACACGGTAAGAGTTGAGCAATTACATCAGTTCCCGGTGTTCATGATTATTTTGTGCTTCCAGGAAAGAAGTTTATCCATTCCATGTATGTGGAAAATGTACAAACATTACACGCTCTGTTCCATCAAATGATATTTTAATGTTTTTAAAGAACCAGAACCTTTTTCTCTGCAGATTCTTATGTTAGTCACCCGCCAAGGGTAAAGAAGTTTAATAAAGAGAATTCAAGAATAATGCTCTAGAGTTGCATCAATTGCAGCTGAACCAAGGCTTAAACTTTGTAAGCACACAGAATTATATACTACAAGTGCAGAAGTTAGCCAAGGCAAATACAAAAAATTCTAACTAACTTGTAGCAAAGGAAGCATATTCTCAGGAAAAAAAGAAGGAAAAAAGGCAATAGAAGTAGTATACTTTAATAAATGTAAAAAAGTTGAATTAAATGTGCCTAAGGAAAGCCTCGGATTACGCAAGCACACAGAAATTTCAAAGGCCCCAGTAGCTCTATATTAGGCATATCTGAAACAAAATCAATAGAATTATATAAAAGCAGGCTCTTCCCCATTGAAAAGTACCCATGAAACTTAGCCCATACAAAATTAGGGAAGTACCAGGTATTCAGCACCTCTTATATGGATAATGAACATGTAGTAACTATGATTTTGTCATGCTTTATGCAAGTCAGAATAAAATAGCATATTCAGCAGTTCATTAGCAAAAATTTAACTCACCAATCTACATTAGGTGATGGCTGCTTCCCAGCTCGGTTGTCTTTCTACAACATTTCTTCCAATAGTGCCAATTTTAGTGTTTGGTAACTCCAACCCAGTGTGCTCTGCCAGCCAAAAGTTATATATACAAAACCAAGATTTATGCAAAAGAAAATTAAGACGGAGTTGAATCGAAAAAGAAGATGCAATTTGAGAACCTAAATTGTTGACTAAATGAGAGAAGATTTGTGAGTGAACCTGAAATTTACCCAATGAATCTTCTCCAAAGATCCCATTCATATGTTCGTTTTTCATCATGTCCTTTTCCCTCTTTCCAAAACAAATATTGTGTGGAGTTCTTAAAAAATTGATATATATATATATATATGAATTTCTCAAACAATAACAATGAATTGATCTAACACTTGCTTTTATAATACAAGGCATATATGGCACCCACAGTACTACAAATCTCCAAACTTACACACAGGACTAATCTCCAAAATTACTTCAAATATACATATTACATAGCCAACTCTAATATATATATATATATATATATATATATAGCCTCAAGTATCAACGCAACTGCTGATGGGCATCTGAAAGCGGCATAGTGGACAGAAATTACTAACTCGGAGCCAACGAAGAATGCAGTCGCCATGGAAAACATGAGAGCAAGGCATTCGGGTTGCCTCCAAACCAACCAAAAGCTCCTCCAAGCATATCACACATTTCATCCCAGTACCCCAATTTTCGACTTTCACCTTCTCCAACGCCTCCACGGATGCGTCACTAGCCGGTACTTGCCTCAATTCCATTGTATATTCTTCTTCGTCTTCCGCACAGGCCACTACGTCTATAGACACTATCATGGGCAGAACTTTTTTTTCCCTGAGATTTTGTTTCACCATTGATTCGGCAGATTTAAGGATGCGATGAATCATGAAAGGCTGAACATGCAAGGGGATACCTAGGTCACAGAGCATGGATGATATTGTGGACCATGATGTATTGTTGTCGTCACATATCAATCGGTCACATGGAACCCAGAATTGCATACAACGTGTATGGCACTCTAAGCGATCAAAATCATCTTCAGAATCATCATCACCATCGTCGTCCGTGAGATCGGACGGAGGATATGTGAAACGAACGTGGAACTTCATGAAGAATTGTCTACATGGACTGGGTAGTTCGGCGATGGGTATGATTGAAGAATCACCCTCCCATGCGTCGCAAGAGTGGTCCATTCTTGAACGGATTCTTGATCGGAGAACGGATTCTTGAACGGATCGGAGAGAGCAAGCAGAAGACCGGTAGTGAAAAACTGAGTGAGAGAGAAATGATGGATATGGAGAGAGAGATGATGGGTACGGAGAGAGAGATGATGGGTACGAATTCTTGAACGGAGTGAGCAAGCAAAACACCGGTACTGAAAAAATTGAGCGAGAGAGATTATGGGTCTGGAGAGGGATGATGGGTATGGAGAGAGATGATGGGTACGAATTCTTGAACGGAGAACGGATTCTTGAACGGAGAGAGCAAGCAAAACACCGGAACTGAAAAATTGAGTGAGAGAGATGATCGGTGAATTAGGGCTTTATTTTGGTAAATCTATATTTTGTTTGTGCTTAAGTTTCCCTACAGTTCTACTTAAAAGGATTGCGGTAATGACCCAATTCCAACCTGTGAATTACGGTTTTATTTAGGAAAAAAAAAAAAAAAAATTGGGTTTTATTTTGGTAAATCTATCTTTTGTTTTTGTGTTTGCGCCTCAAATGATGTTAATGGGTCTTTCGTTATTTGGCCCATATACCTTACCCTGACATATTCACGAGTTCTCTCTTCTTCTTCCTTTTTTTTAAATTATTTTTTTTATCTTAATTAATTACCGTACATATTTTAAGAGAATCAACCCCACATTTGAAAGAAAACAATGAGTTTTTGCAGTCAAAAATTGTTAATTTAAGAGAGCCATGGTGTCCTGTATTTTTTTTTTTGCATTTTTTGATATTTATTATTATTTTTAAATTATTATTTTCGGGCATCCATGCCATTTGTCATTTAGGGTATTTATTTGAGTTTAAAATTTTTGGGTTTTATTTTGTTAAATCTTTCTATTGTTTTTGTGTTTGCGCCTCAAATGATGGGCCTTTGTTAATGGGTCTTTTGTTATTTGGCCCATATGCTTACGCTGACATATTCACGAGTTCTCTCTTCTTCTTCTTTTTTTTTCAATTATTTTTTTTTTTATCTTAATTAATTACATTACATATTTTAAGAGAATCACCCCCACCATTTGAAATAGAACAATGAGTTTTTGCAGTCAAAATTTGTTAATTTAAGAGAGCCACGGTGTATCTTCCTTTTTCTTTTTCTTTTTTTTTTTGGCATTTTTCGATATTTTTTTTTATTATTTTAAAATTATTATTTCCGAGAATCAATTCGCATGCCACCAGGGTTTCGATTGTCATTTAGGGTATTTATTTGAGTTTAAAACTTTTAGAAATGCATTACAATTTACTCCACCATGTTATATTACGATTATAACATGTTGAGTTAAATGGATATAAACGGATTGAACCCTTCAATCCTAACCTAACACAATTAAATAAACAAATTAATCGTGTCAATCCGTTTATGACCCGAACCTATTTAAGATCAATCCAAACCCACTTATCTCGTGTTGTGTTCGAATTCTATTAGTATTTTGACCTCACTAGTATTCTCATTTAATTGCATAGGTTTTTATTCCGGAAGACTATACTTTTTCCCAATTTTGTCGAAAGAACAACCCATTTTTCACCTTAAACTGGTCCAAATATGCAAAATTTCTTACTTTTCGTGGAGGATTAGATTCAAGCAACCGAGGATGCCTGGTTGACTGATAACGCACAACGTCATTTAGCTATTGCAATTATTTTCCTGGTATCGTCATATGCATAAGACAACAAGGGCATTGGTCATGGCCTAAAGGAAATTTTAGAAGCTGATCAAAATTCTTGAGAACTAACACCTGCACTTGTATTCCGTTGGTCACTCCGAGGGTCGAGATTAACTTAGCAATGGGTCTATTCTGTTGTTGAATCGATCTCAGCCGTCACCAATGCATCACAGTCATTGAAGAGGCTTTTAACTTCCCAATTGGCAACAAAAATTGATTACATCCTCAAACTCTACACCATACATGCTTATCTAACACAGGTGACCACTTTTATGATCTTTTTGAAATATCAAGTACAAGATGCCGCCCATATCTAGCACTTGGGTGTGGGTTCAATTCTCCTCCAACTCTATAAGCTCCTGACTTAAAATGTTACTTGGGTAGCCGGGGGGTTTACCTGGGACCTACAAGTCCAAAGGGTGGATAGTTGCAACGGTTTCCGCGTCATAAAAAAATAAAAATAAAAAATAAAAAAGTTCGTGACACTAAACATGTAAAAGAAAGTGCAAATGCATTTAAGAGTTCAACATAAACATGTAAAAGAAAGTGTAAATGCACAATTAACACCATTGATGATTAAATGTGTTCAAACTAAGAATGCATGGATCTATTTTAATCTTCATTCAGAATACACCATCCTTCTTCCTTCAAAGCAATTTATATAGAAATCTTCAAATGTCTTCCATGAATGCAGTATGTCCTCCTTGACCCATATGTATTAAAAGCAAATATTGCATTGTATTAAGCTACAAACTTGACAGCTAATATCATTTAAGCATAATCGATACGAGAAAATTAAGACAAGAAAGGAGAAAGAATATTGTCACAGCTTGGTTTTCATGTCCAAGATTTCTCAACTATATACTTCATTGAGGATTCAAAAGACAAATAAGAAATTTTAGACCAATCAATGGTTCCAGAAAAGTCCTGCATTTTCCTGAACCAGAATATCATGAAAAACAAAATGAAACCAACTCTACAATCCTCCATTCACCTCCACAGGTATTACAGTCCCTTGAGAATTGATTAAGTTGATTTTTCCAACCATAGAATCAAAATCTGGTGACTCCTTTGTCTTCCTACATCAGAACATGCAATATTAGAGCCCTTCAAATCATAGATAACACTTAATAATTTTATAAGCTTTGGTAGTGATCCGGACAATGCTAGATAACAGTTAAGTATCTGTTAATGAGTTCTTTAACAAAACAACAACAAAAAAAATAAAATCTGAATAACATCCCAGTTCTAAATCAAACACCCTAATTCAGAAATCATATCGCATGGCCTCTGTCATTGGTTTTTTTCTTTCCGAGTTTCCATCATCAACTGATAGACTAGTTTACAAGCATTTCAGTGCAATAGAAGCAACGTGTCAATGTATGTTTTATATTCAGTTTCATTATTGCTAATATTTATCTTGACACCAATTCTCATCCGAAATCTTTGTAGCCTTAAAATAACATCATTCGTAGTAATTCAACCTGCCATAATGCTTCTCCCTAAAGTTTTTTGACATCCTATAACAGATCCAACGTCACTTACAAAGCATGAAAACAATAAAACGACAGAATCGAAAATTTCTGCATGGAACAAGATCTAGACCATCTGTAATCAAGTTTCGTGTTGGATTGAAGTCTTTAGTCATGTTTATTTTAAGTTAGTAGCTACAGGTATTTTCCTCTTTAAATTTTCTCATGTTTAGGGAGTCAATAGTATTTTGGCCATTTCTAATTCTTCTAGACTTGCAGTATACAGACTGTAATAGAGCCTTAGCGGTCCCGGGTCATATTTTGAGTCAAGTAATGTTTTTAGGTCTTTATCAGTGGCCTTTACTAGTGAATAGCATTGTTAGTTAAACATTGCTCTCCTAACTGAACAATGTGACGAAAGATGATTAACTATCTGAAATGTTCCCTTCCAGATACGAAAATCAATAATCAAAATCTTCACCAATGCTGCTCTCAAAAAGAAAACAATAATAAATAAATAAAATAAAAAATAAAACATTCACTGACTCAGGTTTATGTGTCAAAGTGTGGTACATATGTGTTTTAAGTGTTGGAATCATCTAATACCCAGAACTCTTCTAGACAAATGTAGTGTTTCACTCTCAATCGAGTAACACAGTAATTTTGTCGTGAAGGATGAACATAATGAACACAATGGCAACCCGAGGTAGGTTGAAGCAAGTAGTTGATTCTACAACTCGGAGTTGCAGCCCGACCATCCCTATCTTGAGGATTGACTAGTACTCATGTTCACATCATAGAACATCCATATCCTGTATCTGTTTCCATGCTATAAAACTTCCATGGAACCAAGAATCTTTTTGTTTTTCGTTTGATTTAGTAAGATGTATACTGCCCCATATTGGACCAATCAAAAGAAAAACTAGACGGATAGACTTGAACCATACACATCCCTGTGATGGCAGAAGAAAACAATCAAGTAGTGCCAAAACAATAATGTCTTCAATTCTATGTTTATGCTCTCTCCATCTACCCCACCAGCACTATTCTCAGCTTTGCAACATTATGTCTACGCTTTTTCCACATTTAAGATATTCTGAACAGTACTTCCCTTGAGGTCTATTAACAAACCAAACAACTCAAATCTGGATGAATCTTATGATATGAAAAATGTTGAATTTTATTAAGCTAATTTGAGTGTGAATAGGAAAACATAATATATGAGGGAACATGATAAAAGCCAAGCAATTACATCACTTCCCGGTGAAGTCTAATATGTTCATGATTATTTTGTGCTTCTGGGAAAGAAGTTGATCCATTCCATGTATGGAAAAAAATATACAAACATTACATGTTCTGTTCTATCAAAAGATATTTTAATGTTTTTAAAGAACCAGTTTCTCTGCAGATTCTTATGTTAGTCACTGCCAAAGGTTGCATCAATTGTAGCTGAACCAAGGCTTAAAGTTTGTAAGCACACAGAATTATATGCCACAAGCGCAGAAGTTAGCAAAGGCAAATATAAAAAATTCTAACTAACTAGTAGCAAAGGAAGCATATTCTCAGGAAAAAAAAAAGAAAAAAAAAAAAAGGAGAAAAGGCAATGGAAGTATACTATAATAAATATAAAAAAGTTGCATTAAATGTGCCTAAGGAAAGCCTTGGATTACGCAAGCACACAAAAAGTTCAAAGGCCCCAGTAGCTCTATATTAGGCATATCTGATACAAAATCAGAAGATTTATATGTGCTCAAAGCAAGCAGGCTCTTCCCCATTGAAAAGTCTCCATGAAACTTAGCCCATACAAAGTTAGGGAAGTACGAGGTATTCAGCACCTCTTATATGGATAATGAACATGTAGTAACTATGATTTTGTCATGCTTTATGCAAGTCAGAATAAAATAGGGTCCTGCAACAAAAAGAAGTCAAACTCATGGAATGGTTATAAAGCAAAAACAATTGATGTTGGTATCTGTGTTGAAATTTTATCATTTAACTTTGAGGAAGAGATACTTACAGCTAGGCAGAACATTCTCAGCATGAGCCAAACAAAAATGTCATACAGCAACAAGTAAGAAAATGATGGCATGCTAATGCTTCATACTAAGTGCACGAGGCTCTCACCATTGCCGGGTCTGAGGAGGGTTAGATGTATATAGCCTTACCTCCACATGCGGCGAGGCTGTTTCCCGTTTCGAACCCGTGATCTCCAGGTCACAATGGAGCAACCTTACCGTTGTGCCAAGGCCTGCCTTCAATGATTCACATTCTTTATAAAATATTTTTGAAAAAAAAAAAAAACCAAGAGCAATCAGAGAGTTCATTGCATAACCATCAAGCAAACTAAATTCAATTTAGATTTTTTAATAGAAATTAAAAATAAAATCAGGAAATACCTAGTTCAAGGATATACAAGCAAGAACAAAAGAAACCTCTGATCTTTAAAGTTGCTTGAGTTCCTCGAGAGGAAAATAGTAAAGGAAAAACAGAAGCATCCATTTGTAATCAAGTATGACTCAGTGACATAGTAAATAAAATTCACAGCTCACTACAAGTATTTGTTAGCACTCAATGAGAATCCTCTATTCACTCTTTGAAGCATACAAAATCAAAGAGAAACCAAGACATTGAGATTGCGAATCTCGGAATCTCTGGGACCAAGAGCAATGTGACATATGGGGATCGGATAGGGCTTGGCTGGCCCACAACTTTTCAGCCGAAAGGCTGGTCTTGAACATAAAAACTGCATTTCCGAGTGACGAACCAAAAAGCCAATTATGAACATCCCAAAGTACTTCAACAGCAAGGCCATCAACCAAGATGATGTGGTTACCCCTGAACTTCCACAGCAACCGCTTCACCTGCATCACGGTTTTACTGTCTACGCGGACGATGAGGCAAGGGTCATTAATGCCAGTGGTGTCACATTCAATCACAAGATCATGCAGTTGGCCATTATTGCAGAACTGAGCCTTGGTGCTGAATATCTTCTTACCGAAGATGTGCTCTCTTTTGGCTATGAAAATGGCTGTGGAAGGAACAGGGCTGGCACTGGTTTTCTTGAAAGCTTCTTTTTTCATGTCCCCAAGAAGGAGAATCATTTGTCGATTGAATGCGATCCCCAAGTAGAATCCCTCCAATGGCTCAGGCCCAGACCCAAATCTAGCTGAGGAAAGGTCCCAGTAAATGTCAATTTTACTAGAATCTGCCTCCAAACTTTTTGATCCTCTCTTCTTAGAGAACAACCAGGGCTTTATTTCGACCTTACAGAGGCACTGATTGGTGTTATCATCAATGGCAACACCAAGCCCTTGACCCATCAAATTTTTACTCCATGTAACAGTAATCAAGCCAGACCGGCCTCCCAATCGACATTGATAAACACAAGTAACTAAATTCTGAGCAGATTTATTGGTACTTGATGACGAGAAATCAGCAACTTGAACTCCGTTTTCACCAAAACAAGATGGAAAATCCCTCATATTGATACCTAGAGAACTTGATTTTTACTTCTTTTTTTTTCTCTACTTTTCTCTCAGGTTTATACAGAAACAGTTGGTTTTCAATTCCATATTTCACAGAAAATAGGACTGGGAGGATTGAAGCAAACACAACAAGAGCAAAGAGCCAAAAATGTAAGAGCCACTTACCTCAATCAGAGATAATCAAAGACCCATCTCAGAAATTCTTCAGAAATCTGCTTGGCAAGGTCTGATTTGATCTGGGTATAGAGTTTCAGATCCATTTCTGCACAAACCCATAAATCAAAGTTGAGTGAGAGGATGAGGGTCCCTCTAGATTAGAGACAAAATTGGGGAATGTAGGTCGTAGAAACTAATGTAGAGAGAGAATCAGACAAGATGGGAGACTACCCATACAAATTTCACTGTCAAAAAGACCAACTCTGAATGTCCAAATTCTTATATATATAATCCCACAAATTTGAAAAGATAAAGATAAAGAAAAAAAAAAAGTAGAGAGAGAAATACCTCAAGATGATGACAGCCTTGAATACTCAAATGAAGATGAAGGAAAAGGCAAGATTGTAGGACATTGCAACTGTGTATTGCTGTAAAGGCTGGTGGTTGAACACTACTCTACACTGATAAAAGGGAAAAAGAATCTCTGTTTTGTATTTTCTCTCTCTACACTATCTCTCCTATCTTCTCTCTCTATCTCAATGTCATTTCTTTAGCTGACATACCCACATGTAATATAGATTAGAACCCGAAAAATTATGCTAAAATTTCACAGACAGAAACTCTTTGACAGCTTCTCTCTCTTGCAAACACAGTATTCGAAATTTCGAACCTTTACCAAAGTGTACATATATAATGTATAACATATATATATATATATATATGCAAGAGACTTGAAATTGTGAAAGAAAAGAAAAAATCTCCTTGAGTTAAACTGAAGAGATCGTGAGATGTAATTATTGTATTTTTACTACATATATTTTTACAAAAGTGTGGGAGAGAGTCATGATTACAAAAGAAAACGGTTTCTGAAAGTTGGAATGGACCAGCATACATGTGCCAACGCATCATCATTCATTCCTCTCTCTCTTCTTTCCATCTATATATATATATATATATATATTAAAGTCATGTCACCCACTAGTCACTACATGATCTCGTGATAGTTATCATAAACTCTTGTCTAAATTAACAATTTTTTTTGCCCTACGACAAGAATAAATTTAAAAAATTTAGACACAAGACTAATGTACAAGTTTCAAGTAGCTAATATTAAAAGGATCTCACTAAAATAAGAAAAAATAAAAACTTGAGTTTGCAAAATATCATAGAATAGAAAATATATTACTGCTAAAGAAGATAGATAGTTTGATTTGGGCCAAATTAAGTAAAAAAATATAATATATTCAAGTTTAACCATTTGTGTAACTTACTTACGTGAGTTTTGACCTAGACAATTCTTATACATACATATATATATTGCAACTTTTTGGCTTTTAACTATATATATATATATATATATATATATATATATATGCGCGCGCCAACGCATCACCATCCTCTCTCTCTCGCTCCAACTATATCTCTCTAAAAAAGTTCTGTCAAAATATGGCCAAAAATCTGCAATTGAAATGATCTCTTCGCAGGGGACCAGGGTATATGTGCCAAAGAATAGTTGGCCAAATTTTGGTAGATTTGTGTGTTTTTTTTGTTTTTTTTTTTTTTTTTTTTTTTTTTTGTGTAATAAGTATTTTTATATTCAATGGTAGAGATTTAATTTGTAAATAAAATATTTCCATGAGTGAGCTGGGTAGGGCACTTCCTTAAGTTGTATGTAAAAACAAAAAAAAAAAAAAATCTATTTTCACACCAGGTGAACAAATTTAATGTCAAAATAATAAGGTGAACTAGTTATCACATTATTCCGAATTATTAAGTTTAGATACAAAAATAGTACACAAGTTACATCATCACTTAATCAATATTAAAATGATGTCATTCTAAAAAATAAAAATAAATAAAAAATAGAATCAAAATACCACAAAATAAACGATTAAATACATTCATACTGCAAGTTCTTTTTCCCCCACCAAGCTAGTAGTTTTCTTTACCACCATGAACCCCCAACCCCCCCCCCCCCAGATCCCTTCCTTCCGCCTCATCGCTATCTATTCACCCCCACTCTAAAACCGTCTTTCAATACTGGCAAGCCACCAAGCCATCCATTTCCCACTACCTCTCTTAGAACATCCAACAAGTGTTCCTCCTCCAAAGCGCATATCATTGACAAAGCCAGTAGTAACTCCGAACAGATTACCACCCAGGACTCACTAGACTACCAACCTCGTTCACCTTCAGTCACAGCCTCCACCATTAACAATATCAAGAGGGCGCTACAAAATGATCGAATCCTTAATCCCACAAACAAGTCATTTATGAGGTAACTTGCTTACCTGATGGGGTTGATGCTGCAATTGTGAATGCGTCAAAGGTCGATTTGATTGAGGAGGTAGTAAGGCTGAAGAAAAGATTGGAGGCTGCGGAGCAGGAGACGGCCAGCCTCAAATCTCACAGTCCATCTTCCATCATTGCTAATGGTAATGATGCTAATTTCCACATATCACGTTCTGAGCTACTGACCCTCAGTGACAAAGCAAACCAATGTCATGCTGAACTTCTGGTCATCCTCAATAAGCTTCAATCATGCTCTGTTGCCAGCGGATAAAGCTTCAGTCATCAGCAGGATTTTCAAATTTCAAATTTGAGCCAAAAAAAGGTCACATCATTCTGGAGATAGAGGTACCTCACCTGTCCTACCTACCCCCAATGCACCTGTTCCTCCTTCACAAAGCTGTCAGAGTGTAGGGGATGGCCCCACAGCTTCGGGTAACCCACCTGTTTGTCTAGAGGTTCCTAACGGTCCGCCGGAGGTTCAATTTTTACCTTCTAAACAATGTTCAGACCAGCAAATTCCCGCTCAACCCACCAGAACTTAGGTTGATGTTGTTATGCAAGCTCCACCTGTACCCCCAGCTAGGAAAATGATCTTGGAATTCTTCAAGCCACAGAGAACTGAACATGGCGTAGTGGTTGAACCACCCAAGGAGGTTGAACTGGAAGGCCAGTCCTCGTGGGTAGGGCTGCTTGTGGGGAGGTTTGCGCTCAAAAAGCCTTATTTTAGGCTCTGTTTGGGGGAGCTTCTAAATTTTAAAATTCCTTTCATTTGAAGGCCTTTGCAAAATGTATTTCAATGGAAGTAATTTAAAAGAAAAAAGTTGTTCGGTGGTTACAATTTTAAAATTCCTTTAACAATTAACATAGTTTTTAAGTTGACATTTTTATCCTTAATAATTAATCTCAAAATTTTCTCTCCAAAGACATTACTGAAATGCTTCCCCAATTTATGCATTAGGTACCTATATATATATACACACACACATATCTATTTAAAAGTAATTTATTGTAGAAAAAGCAAACCTTGAAATTAAAAGTTTTGGGATCTAGGGGTTGAATGTAGATGTTATGACCATGATTATCTTCTCTTTTCAAAATTAACAAGTTTAATTACGTGCAACATTGGTATAGTGATTACATATTAAACCTCCTAATCTTGGAAGCAATAGAAAACAAAAACTCAAGATATAGTACTCATTCAATAAAAGTATTATAGTAATGGAATTTGAATGATAGCAGAAGACTATGTAGAGTACTTGCCCAAATAGGAAACTTCTTATAACAATGAAATTTGAATGGGAGAAGAAGACTTTTAGCGCAAAAATTATACAATCAATGGCAACAGTAAAAAATTGTTTATCGGCTTGGAGTTCTTTTTCTCAATTTCATCGGTGTTCTTCATATTTCATGACTTTCAGCAAAACAAAACAATTGAGAGAGAAGATTGGTTGCAATTTACTAATAGACTTTGAGGGTTAATATCAAAATTTTGATATAATATGTAAGAATAATTTTGTAAATGATAATTTATTACTTAAAATACGGCTAACTTGGCAAGAACGTATTTTTAAAAGCCTCTTTTTTTTTACTTTAGTCTAACGGGCTTTCAAAGACTTCCATTACCAGCATAAGTCCTTTACAAATCATGTACCAAACACTTTTTTTTTTTTTTTTGGAATGCCTTTTGGACTTGACAGCCTATTTTAGAACTCCAAGAAGCTACGCCAAACACAACCGTAGTCTTGTTCCGAGGACTGCACACAGAATTTGGGACTGGAACGCATCTTCGCTGATGGGGGAGGGTTTTTCTACTTCAAATTTAACAGTAAAGCTTTTGCAAACTCGGTCCTTGCTTCAGGTCCATACCACTTTGCTGGGAAATCACTCCAACTGCAAAAGTGGCACCCCCTGCTATCAACAGAGACTGAGAATGCTCAGTTGGTTCATGTCTGGGTCAAACTTTTCAATATACCAATCAACTTTTGGACAACAAAGGGCTTTAGTGATGCTGTTAATGCTGTTGGGAGACCACTCTATGCTGATCCAGCCACTGAGGAAAGAGAAAAGCTGAGATTTGCAAGAATTTGCATTGAACTGGACCTCAATACACCTCTGGTACACTCTTTCCCACTGAGGAATAGTGAGGGGAAACCGGTTGACATCATTGTAGAGTATCAGGGGTTACCCAAATTCTGCATCTCCTGCAAGAAGGTTGGGTATGTCTCTTCTTTATGTCCTGGTTTACCTTCGACACAATCAAATCTAAACCATTGGCAGGTTGTTACTCCAAGGAAAATGAGACCTGCTACAGCTTCTCAGGGTAGAGCACAGAATGCACAGAATAATCCCACTACTTCTCAGCCATTAAACCCTCAACAGATTAATGACTCCACTATACCACCCACAGTATAATGTCCAACCTGTAACTTGAACCACCACTCTTCTACCACATTAGCCATACCCCACCCAAAGGAACAACAGATTATTTCCACCACTCTCACTCACTCACTTACCCCCTCAACTATGCACCAAATCACAATCACCAACCAAATCACCATCCACGGGATTATCCCTCCTGCAAACAAAGAAAATTGTTCGATCCACAATCAATGCTGACTGTTCCAGAAACTTGATGGAATCTTGTTCCACTTCATTTGCACTGGCCCAGGCTGACACAAATTTTGGTGCTAATCTCACTACTGAAGCTTCTGTCACAAATGCTGAGCCAGCTGCAAACACTGATACTGATGCTGCTTTGGAGGTTGATTCAGACCAATCATTGCCTACTTCCTCTTCATCCCAAAGCCAAACTAGTTCTGCAAGTTTAAAGCCTGCAAAATGCAATGCAAAGAAGAAGAAAGGTAACATTGGTCAGGTTATGAATGTCTTTCCCCGCAAGGGGGTTTAAGGATACCAAAAATGACCTGGGCCGAGTACGATCCAAATTGCTAAGAGCAGGTCAGGCAAGAGCAACCACTCCGAACCAAGTCTTCACTAGTCAGGCCTAGGACTAGGAAATCATGTTAGAAGCCCGATTACAGATAAAGGGAATTGAACCCATAACCAAAAAGAGCCCAGAAGAACAGCCTAGTGCAAGGAGTTAGTTATGAAGCTTCTAGAAGATCTGTAATAGTTTATAAATAGACTGAAAATAGAGGGAAAAGGGGTTGAAAAATCTTTGAAGTGTAGAATTACTCTTTCTAAATTGAGAGTGGAAATTTCTTGCATCTTCAATGGCGCCGTCCGTGGGAAACAATCAAGATTGATTCATGCTCAATCAAGATTGATTCGATCAAGGCTTATTTGTGAAGAAGAAGCTTGATCTCTGGAAGCTGGATTCAGGTCAGCGAGGTTATGCTCTGTCTTGCACAGACCTGGTTCTAGTTGTTCTTTCGAGATT